GGGTGTAAATGGGACTGCCCAGTATGGTCCGCTGCAGTTTCCTCCATTCTTATGTTCTTATGTTAACCTGACGTAACCTAATCTGACCTGATCTGACCTAATCTGACCTGACCTAACCTAACCTGACCTAACCTAACCTGACCTAACCTAACCTCATAGCCTGTATCTGTCACACATTTGTACAGTATTGTACCTCATCCATCTATCTCTCCCCCACCCTCACCTGAGCCTCACATTTACCTGTGTATATTAATCACCCACCCACCCACCTACACCTGTCCCTTTATGTACTGTAACGTATGATAACTTGAATGGTGTGTTGCTCATTTAATTCTCTCTTTTTCTTTCTTTCTTTCTTTTTCATTTTGTCTCTTTTCTCCTTTTGTCACTCTTCTTTCTCTCTCTCTCTCTCTCTCTCTCTCTCTCTCTCTCTCTCTCTCTCTCTCTCTCTCTCTCTCTCTCTCTCTCTCTCATACCACCTCTTCCCTTATTAACCAATCCAAATCCAATCACGCGGAAGAACTTGAACTGATTGGAAGATCACGAATCTCCTCCTGGGTGTAATGTGGACGATTGGCGAATCACTACAATGATTTGGAACGATTCGGGGGATAGGGATGACACTGGGATGATTCACACTGATGATGATGATGATAATAATAATAATAATAATAATAATAATAATGATGATGATGATATTAATAACAATAGCAACAATAATAATAAAAATAACAATAATAACAACAAAACAACAACAACAACAACAATAATAATAATAATAATAATAATAATAATAATGATGATGATGATAATAATAATAATAATAATGATGATGATAATAATAATAACAAACAAACTTTCATCTCACCTGGAAAAAATCTAAAACAACACCATAATTTGCTCACCTGTACACTGTACCTGTACCGCATAGTAAATGAATAGGAAATTGAATTCTGTAATCAAAGCTTTTATAACTAAATTCATATATACTGGTCATTATTATTACACACACACAGACACAGACACACACACACACACACACATAGACACATACACACACACACACACACACACACACACACACACACACAGACACACACACACACACAGACACACACACACACACACACACACACACACAGACACACACACACAGACACACACACAGACACACACACACAGACACAGACACACACACACACACACACACAGACACACACACACACACACACACACACACACACACACACACACACACACACACACACACACACACACACACACACACACAAATATCAGCACTCGTATGCAATAATTGAACTTGGTTGAAATTCGTCAAATAACCTAACGTAACCTAACGCCAACCTAAGCTAACCTAACGCTAACCAACCCTAACCTAACCTAACCTAACCTAACCTAACGCCAACCTAAACTAACCTAACGCTAACCAACCTTAACCTAACGCCTACCTAACCTAACGCCAACCTAACCTAACCTAACCTAACGCTAACCAACCCTAACCTAACGCCAACCAACCCTAACCTAACGCCTACCTAACCTAACGCTAACCAACCCTAACCTGACGCTAACCTGCTAACCTAACGCTAACCAACCCTAACCTAACTAACGCCTAAAACGCCAACGCCTACCTAACCTAACGCCAACAACGCTAACCTAACCTAACGCTAACAACCAGCTAACTAACCTAACGCTAACTAACCTAACCTAACCTAACGCTAACCAACCCTAACCTAACGCTAACCTAAGCTAACCAAACGCTAACCAACCCTAACCTAACGCTAACCTAAGCTAACCAAACGCTAACCAACCCTAACCTAACGCTAACCTAAGCTAACCAAACGCTAACCAACCCTAACCTAACGCTAACCTAAGCTAACCTAACGCTAACCAACCCTAACCTAACCTAACCCTATCTTGGCATCTGCTCTCTTCCCGTTCCTGCTGCCTCCCATTCTTGCCCCCCTGCCACCTACCCTCCCTATCTTCCTAAGTTTGGTAAGGTTAGGTTAAGTTTGGTAAGGTTAGGTTAAGTTTGGTAAGGTTAGGTTAAGTTTGGTAAGGTTAGGTTAAGTTTAATAAGGTTAGGTTAAGTTTGGTAAGGTTAGGTTAAGTTTGGTAAGGTTAGGTTAAGTTTGCTATGGCTAGGTTAAGTCATCATAATTAAACAAGTGAATATTAATATTTTTTTACGATTTTAATCTTATAATTATTTCTTAAGTACATTTACCGAATTAAAAAATAATAATAATTCACAACTAATTTATAATAATTTTGAATCCGTCTACAGTCAATGAATTGTTTAAATAATAAATAAATAGACTAAAATCATGAAAATATTTACATGAGACTTTTAATAACTATTTGAGGCGCCTGGAATGACAATGGCGTACTTCCAAAACGGCTATCATGAGTAACTCGCATTTAAAATTTATGTGCCATGGAAACTACTGCATGGATGTCAATAAACCCTCCCACAAACGATGGACCGTATAATGTATGTTTACTTGTTGGAAAATTTAACCCCATAGACCACATCCCCAAACCCGACCACATCCCCAAACCCGACCACATCCCCAAACCCGACCACATCCCCAGACCCGACACTCGGTCATGTATAGAACGAAGGCCAGTGAAGACTCTTGTAGCCAAAGGTGATTTTAACGCTTAAGTTACTTCCATTATAGGCGCCTCATTTGACCACCTCGATCCGTCTCTTACTCCCATATGTGTAATTTAAAACCTGAAATACAATTCACTCATCAATCACATTCATCACACATCAATCACATTCATCACACATCAATGAAATCTGAATAAATTAATTGAAACATTTATTGAGTTTAATTTTAATAGCTTTAGGGCGAGGGTGTGAGGTGAATAGTGGAACAGATGCTGGTGTGGGAAGGTCTTACACAAACACAATATTTACAAGTGTGAAAAATAATGTAAATTGATGGTGTTTTAATGTAATGGTGAGTTAAGTTAGGTTAAGGTTAGCGTTTGGTTTGGTTAGCGATGGGTTAGTGTTGTGTTAGGTTAGGTTAGGTTAAGGTTAGCGTTTGGTTTGGTTAGCGATGGGTTAGTGTTGTGATAGGTTAGGTTAGGTTAGGTTAAGGTTAGCGTTTGGTTTGGTTTGGTTAGCGATGGGTTAGAGTTGTGATAGGTTAGGTTAGGTTAAGGTTAGCGTTTGGTTTGGTTAGCGATGGGTTAGTGTTGTGTTAGGTTAGGTTAGGTTAAGGTTAGCGTTTGGTTTGGTTAGCGATGGGTTAGTGTTGTGTTAGGTTAGGTTAGGTTAAGGTTAGCGTTTGGTTTGGTTAGCGATGGGTTAGTGTTGTGTTAGGTTAGGTTAGGTTAAGGTTAGCGTTTGGTTTGGTTTGGTTAGCGATGGGTTGTGTTGTGATAGGTTAGGTTAGGTTAAGGTTAGCGTTTGGTTTGGTTAGCGATGGTTAGTGTTGTGTTAGGTTAGGTTAGGTTAAGGTTAGGTTAGGTTAGGTTAAGTAAACACATGACAATAAAGTTTCTCACGAGGTAAAGTTAAAGACACTGACTTATATTGGAGTGCGAGAGAGAGAGAGAGAGAGAGAGAGAGAGAGAGAGAGAGAGAGAGAGATGTATGCCTCAGGTAACTACAGGAACACCTCACCACCTACAGGATAAAACCCGCTAACCAACACCCAGCAGGAGTGATACAGCTGCCTAGGACACACCCTTCAGGAGGAACATGTCCGGATATACGAGAAATTATTCCTACCTATTCTGTACCTAGACAGGATTTGGGTTAGGTTAGGTTTGGTTAGGTTAGGTTAGGTTTGGTTAGGTTAGGTTTGGTTAGGTTAGGTTTGGTTAGGTTAGGTTTTGTATCCATTCAGTACCACCTTTGTCTGAGGAGAGAAGTGAGACCAACTGACAGAGGAAGGGGCACAAAATTTACATGTATATGTGATGGCAGTGTGCAGCTGTCTGGGTGAATTAATTCCGACATAGAGGTTAAGTCTGTGATGTATGTACGGCAGTGATGCTGCTTCAGTACCCACCCCACCCACATCCACACCCCACCATCCCACTCCACACCTACACTCCACCCAACCCACTCCACTCAACCCATCCCACCAACCCACTCCACCCACACCCAGGCAACACCTACACGCTAACTAAACTATGTACGTGATTAATAAAAAAATAAACACAGAAATGAATAAATAAATAAATGAATAAATAAAAAAATAAAAAAATAAAAAAATAAATAAAACATAAATGAAGTCTTAATATTTATAGGTGATGGCAATGTTCCCTCGTCAGCTAATCAACTGTGACGTGACATGAGGTTGATGGTTGACACAGTTCTCACATCACCAACACTTTTCAATAAATATTACTATACAAATACACAAAGACAACGGTAAAGAAATATACATAAACAAGTATTCATAGATAATTAAAGATATGTATACTTGTATCAGTAAATAAATGTGGCTTTTACTTTTATACAGTATGTATATGGTAATGAGATAAATATTGAAGGAAGATTAGAAGAAAAAATATTGATATGTATCTTGTGTTGGTCAAGAGGATAAAGGGCGGGAATCAGGGTTGGCGGGAGTGTGGGTAGCGCGGTGTTATTCCATTATCCTCATAGTTATCTGCATGTGAACCTAAAATCTCTTAAAATGATCTTTATATTATGAGAAACCATAATAAATCTCAATCTCTACATTAAAAATAACAAGCTTCATCTGGTCTATGTTGAAGCTATACCAGTTGGCTTCATCAGGTGCTATTTTACCATTAACAATTTAGGCATGGTGTGTTCTTTCGGCTCACCAATCGTGCTGCAGAACCTTAGAGTCAGTGACGTCATGATTATGATGGCCAATACACGTGTGGGCGGTTGTACAGGATAGCCAATGGGAGGTCGAGGTAGGAGTGACGTCACGGGGCGGGTTTGTGATATAAAGAGGGGTGGGTGAAGGTGCGGGGTTACACTACAGGAAGTGAGCTAACTTTCGTCAGTTGCATCAGTGCCGTCGACCAGTCAACGCAGGTAGGTCGCGGGTCCAGCCAGGCGTCTCCACCGACCACACAGTATGTTTCTTAACTTTACTTCACATTCGTCTATAACTACGTAAGGTTACCGTGTGGGTATTTTATGTTAGACGATATTAATAACCGGTGTTTTATGTCTTAAGTCATTCCTTGTGTCATTTTCAAACGTTATTCCCGTGTATTAGACTAAGTTAAATTAGTTACGGTGATCTCGCTGTTCTGATGTTAGTATATTTGTAATAGCTAAAGTTAACAAGTTAGAATCGTCCCTATAATAAGGTAAAAGAATCGGATCGTAAGCTTTATCGTTAAGTATTTGGGTAAAATTTATGGCCGATTGAGTGATTGTCGTTATGTGTTCGTTTGGAAATTGACAGTGACTGGAAAAAAAGTTACCGTAAAAAAATAAAATAAAAAATGGCTAGGTTAAGATAAGTTATGTCTATGTTAGGTTATGTTAGGTTAAGTTACCGTAGACACGACAGCCAGTTCGGGGCAGTGTGGATATAGCAAACTGTAACCTCACGATACACAAGGAGGCAGCGTGGCCGGGCACTGTGCATGACTGCATTACTATAACCATCTGTAAAGTGAGGTGCCATTCACAGTAGTAGTAAAGTGTGTTAGTAGTAGTGGTAGTCATACTAGTCGTAGTAGTGGTGGTGGTGATCAGTAGTAGTAATAGTTTGACAGTAATAGTGGCGGTAAAGGACAATCGTATATTTAAAACCACATAAAATCATTATCTCATTCTTTAGATTAACCGCACCATGCCCATATAGACAATACGGACCTAAATTATTTTTGTATTTTTTTCATCACCCGTGATCTAAAATGAATAGACAAGGCTATATTTATTTTTTCCATCGATAACGAACGCGATTCATATCTATATCACTATCAAGAAGTAATACTGAGTGGTAGAATTTCGTCTTGGGTGAAATAATCTGTTGGAATTATTGTAGGTGTATTTTGGGTCAATTTGCTTCCGTTGTGTAAAGTAAGAAAAGTTATACCGTATGTTAGGTGTTACTGAACATTCACTCATGACAAAATATCTCCTTATATCACTATTCCACTAGAGAAACCAAACCTAACACTACTATATTATATTAAAAAAAAAATAATATCGGGCGCTACAATATTTATCTAAACAAACATAGATTAATCTTACACTATTATATTTATAAGTCTAATGGAACAATTGCCCGCTAGTGAGAACGCCGCCACCCACTAATAAGAAATAATTTAGTTTACCCTTAATAATGTTGCCGTCACGTTTTCTCTCGTCGAGATTTGAACACTTTTTACCGCTGGAATATTGTGTACCGCACTGAGGTAACATGCACACCACAGTTCTCCTGGGTATATAATGATCTATCTATAGTAAACCACATTACTGGAATCACCTGAAGAATCACCACCCTAGTTTATTTCACCTGAAGATTAACCACCCTAACCTAACCTATTCAATCCCCAAATAAACTAGGGTGACCATTCTTCAAGTCCTTGTATATTCCCGCCAAAGCTCTTGGGTGGACCAGCGGTCATAACTCTAGCTGGGAAACACTAATTAAGCAACTGTCTTGATTTTCGCTTAAATTCATCTCCATTCCTCAACGTCTTTGCCAAGTTACTGAACAGAGGAGATATTTCATTTGCGTATATGTAAATAGTTCTAAATAGCTCATTGATAGGGTTCGATATTGAGGTAAAAAATAATAGCCCGCCCAGAGCCTTCGTACTAGGCGTCTGTTGACAAATTATAGCCTAACTGGCGAAATCGAGCGAGTAAAGGCTTAAATCTAGCGGAAACTTACTAACATTTCTCCCCGTCGATGTAAGAGTTATTTAGGCTATTTGTGGTGAGATGTGAGGTACTTTATACAGGGGTGAGGGTGATAGGGGAGTGGAGGAGGAAGAACCATAGAGAAAATAAAAGAGAAAGGGAGAAAGAATAGAATGGGGGGAAGTAGATAGATAAATTAGAGACCAAGTGTGTATTAGTATGTATGTTTGTGTATGTATCTCTGTATGAGTGTATGGTTTTGAATGATTGCACGAGACTGTAAAAAGCTTGGAAGGTAGACAAACGCCAACCGGAAAGACACTGCCGCCGCCGCTCCTCTCGCACAAGATGTAGCCCGCCACACATGCAACTACGGACAACTCTGCCTATCTATTAACCTCTCCGCTTTGTAGATAGTAAATCCGCTGTCGTATCATCTTCACTACCTCATCACCACCATTTTTACGTCCAACACCTTTATAAAGAACGGTGTATAGTTGTGTTTCTAAGGATGACAGTACTACCTGCCTAAAACAATTTTCCAGTCCGAGTATTACGGAATTTGTTTGCACCCATATCTAGAAGTCCTATGTTAAATAAAGCTAAGTATCATATTATTTTTTTATCTCTTTATCATTTACCTATTGTATATTACTCACTAAAATATTCATGAATCCTTTTTAGAACATTTTTCTCACCTTTCCTTCTTTCATGTTAGTATTGGAACCCAAGAAAATGTTTACTTGTTTTTGTATTTCAGCAGTGAGCTCAGATGTTTCTCCCTCCCTGGTGTGTGTGTGTGTGTGTGTGTGTGTGTGTGTGTGTGTGTGTGTGTGTGTCCACAGGGCCACAGATAAATACTGAGCTAATTACTGACGACGACGGTAAAAAAATAACCCAGGTGTGGCCCACGAGCTGAGCCACACACACACACACACACACATACACACACACACACACACAGACCTTGTTGACCAGGAATCCCTGCCAAACACCCCGAGGCTCGGCTCTCCTGGCCCTGTGAGACCGAGGAGACGGAGGGTGTGGCGTTAGGAGACCGTGTGGAGGACCTGGATGTTCTTAGAAACCGAGGAGAAAAAGACAGACCTAGGAGATCAGTAGTGGGAGACCGAGGACCATTAAGAGGAGAAGGATGGACGATCAAGAAAATGATGAATATAGAGGGAGAGGATGGGGCCTTGGAGACTGGGGAGACAGATGATACTTGGAGATCGAGGGAAATGTCTCCTGGACACTGGGAAACCTAACAATATTGAAGGGTCGTATGAAGGTTTGTGTGTGTGTGTGTGTGTGTAACTTCATCTCTCTCTCTCTCTCTCTCTCTCTCTCTCTCTCTCTGTGTCTTCCTTTTCCTGTTTATCTCTTTCTTTTCTCACTTTCTTTTTTTTTACCTCACTGACTTTCTCACTCCTTATATGTTTCCCCTTCTTCAGTAGCTCTCCCCCTCCCTCTTAACTGGCTCAAATCTCTCTCTCTCTCTCTCTCTCTCTAGTTCTCTCTTTCTTTTTCTGTCTCTAGTCCTTACACACACACACACACCGCGTCTTGGCTCAGTCAGTGGAGTCGATCAATCTCACGTTCACACAGGCAGGCAAATAGCGTCGCGGTGACCAAGTGTGTTACTGAGGTCTACAATCACTTCCCTTGAATTTGAGGAGGTGTGAAGGATGCGAGGAGGAGGTGAAGGAAAGTGAGAGAAGGAGGCAAAAGAGTCCTTGAAGGAAGTCAACTAGAGGCAGGAGTCTTGAGCAAGCGGTGGGGGAAGTTCTTTTGAGGGATGTATGTAACTTTCGATTAGGCCGCGGCGTACAGATGGGGTCTCAAAGGGCCTTAAGGTAAATATTTCTCCTATATCATTGAATTGAAGGCATCTAACTCTTTCACTTAAGTTATAATGCAATGATAAATTCTCAATTTTTTTTCGTTAATTATAATTTAAGTAATGATATGGGTAGGAATAAATACAGTATATATGGTTCTTTTGTGTAGATACGAAAAATAATTTACAATGCACCTTTCGTGATTCCTCCCTATAAGCTGGTCAAATGAGCTCCTATACTAATATACTAATATCACTATAACCATTATTATTGTATTCTATTTGCCTAGTTAGTGATAAAGTACTGCTTAATATGTATTTTTTTTCCTTTCCTTTAGTCAACGAATATTTACGTTCTCTATTGTCATTGTTTTCTGAAGCCTGTATTTGTATGGCTACATTAAATTAAAACACAAAGATAATTCCTCATAGATTTGTATATTGTATTTATACCCAAAACTAATATAGATTAAAAATACTTATAAATATTTCATCTTACATACAGAAAAACTGCAGGAATAATGGCGCCAAAATTTTACTGATACTCAACCTTAGCTATTGATGGGATACGTACAAATTATATTAAAACTCTAATTTAGCTACAGTGATGGAATAAATATATGTATAAATGTTTAGGAATCCATCTTTATGTCGTAAGTTAAGAGAAGGAAATTATATGTCTTGGGAATATACAAAGTTAGTGAAATGTGGGTTGTATTCACCGTGGAGTTTCTGATGGTGCCTGTCGCTTCCGTTCGCTCTCCAAATAATATTACTGTATATTTCTTTGTGTGTTTCTTTCGTCTGTCATTTCTTATAAATTAATTGTAAGTATTTTTTATCGTCATTATTTATCTATATATTATTTAAGCGTTTTTCTGATTTTATCTCAATCTATTTCACATTTTTTTAGCCTGTAAAGTATTTTTTTTAATGATAAACACCCTAAGCGAGATATTATTTTAATTAATTTATATATTTATATATATATATATATATATATATATATATATATATATATATATATATATATATATATATATACTTATATTTTTCATTATTAAAGCATTGTATGTACGTATATCAGAATTAAATGCTTGTATACATATATTTTTACAGGGGGCAGCTCTACTGGACCAAATGAGAAAGAAAGACAGACAGATAGACGTTATAATGATGCGTTCACTAGAAAGATGTTTTTGTTTCATACACAGCGTACGGTATACACAACACTAATAAGCAAAAAGCTAAACAAACGTATGTAAATGTAATTACAATGTCGAACCGTAACTCTAGTACATTGTTTGATATAGTATAGGTTTGCCAAGGACGCCGCTGCGGTAGCTTACGAGAGCGGGTGAGTGTGGGGAAGGATGCGCGCTCTAGGCTTCGTTATACTCAGCCGTTATA